TGGCTTTTTTCTTTTTGCTTATGTGGTGCTGAGGAATCGAACCCAGGGCCTCATGCATGCAAGGCAAGCGCTCTACCACTGAGCCACCTTCCCAGGCCTCTCTTTTTTAAGTTACCTATCTTTGTATTTTAATAACATTAGTGCCTTGTGCCTCATTGAAGCACAAGTATTTCATGTTGTGTTAAATGCTAAATTAATTTAAATTATTCAGTGTTATACTTTCACTTAATACTTTCTATAATTAGCAGGATTAGTAAACTAGTAGCTCTTGTCAATCAAATTTAGCAATATTATTTTTGTTTATGTTGTAACAAAGCATTTTATTGTAAGCTTCAATAACTGCAGCTAGATATAGAAGTTATATACTTAATGAACAAAATGTATAGTATTTTCTTGAAGTAAATTGCACTGAAAATTAGATAGCACTTAAAACTTTAGTACCAAAGTACTATATATATATATAATTAGTACGTATATATGTGTGTGTGTATATATAAATATATATATATATAAATATATATATATATATATACATATATATATATAGTCTTGCTATATAGTATATATAGAGAGACAATATATTAGGTATATATATGTATATATATTTGAAAACTATGTGAGATAAATGTTTTTTTTGCATGTCTATCATAAGTGGATTATGCTATCAAGAATATTAAGACGTTAAGGTTTAGTACCATTTAAAAGCTCTTTTTCTTGTGAATGTAAAAAATAGAACATATTCATTGAGCTTTACACTGTTTTCTCTTAAGGGATAGAGAGAGAAAAACAGAATCTGGAGAAGCAGATGTCAGATCTGAGAGCACACCTGAACTTCAATTCAATGGCATCTGAGTTGGAGGAGGTGAAGCGATGCATAGAGCGAAAAGACAAGGAGAAAGCAAATTTGGCAGCACAAATAGAGGTGACTTGGCTGTTTTTAAGCAATATTTAAAAGACTTAATTATATTTGGTAGAATTGCTCTAATGAAATATTAATGTAGAGATGTATTATTTTCTGGATGTCAGTGGATCATGCCTCTAATTCTAACTACTCAGAAGGCTGGGATTTGAGTATCAATATTCAAAGCCAGTCCAGGCAAGAAAGTCTGTGAGACTCTTTTCTCCTGTTAACCAGCAAATAGCTAAAAGTGGTAGAGTGCCAGCCTAGAGCGAAAAAGCCAGTTCCCAAGTTCAAGCCCAAGTACTGTCACCAAAGAAAAGAGAAAAACAACAAAAGGAAAAAAGATACATTTTTTTGTAAGTGAAGGTTTAGGGATACATATTGCATTTCTTTGTTAATGTCTAATTTACTATGTATAGACTGTCCTGTGGTTTAATGTTTCTTTCCTTTAGTGATCCCAAAACCCGGGATCTGGGTTAATGTTCTTTAGCATTTCATAGTGAAATATATGACATTTTTTAAACTTGAAATTATTTTTGTTCTAGTAGCAATTGAGTCCTTCCTGAAGACAGTAGGGACCTTCTCTGAGATAACAATACGTTATCTCAGATTTTGGGAGTGAAACTGGCAGATGCTGTGGTAGAAAGCAGATTTTCAGATCTCTAGTTGTTCTTCATGAACTCGAGTTGTATAGTGCTCATGAATATGTTGAAACCATGAATGAAGTGTAACTAGGCAGCTACCATTTCCTGCTTGCCTTTTATCTAGTGTAGATGAGGTAATTATCAGAATATATTAAAAATCAAAGGAGAGTACCTCATAAAAGGAAATGGCTTAATTCCAATTCCAATTATGCAAATTAGATCAAATATAGATGACACATTTGGAAATAGATATGTATCAGTTCTCCTCTGTATCTGCTTTTATTAGCGCAGTTGTGCTGTAATTGTAATAAGTTGCTGCATTTGAAGAATTTTTATAATTAAAATGAAAGGTAGAAAATTGGTGTTGAAAGCACCTAACTTTATGTAACCCAAAGGAAATATTTAATATTACTCCAGTCTGAATTTCTCTTTCATCTTTTTGACACATCAATGGAAAATGTATTTTAAATATGGTTTAAAATTCAGATTATAAAGATAATGAAATATTCACATACCTTTTATAAAGCCTTCAATATGTTTAATAAAATTTATCAGAAATAGTCTCAGAGCAATGGTAACCAAGGATTTTAGTTTGCTTCATTGTTACTAGTTTGGTCCTGATAAAAGTGTTAAAAGATGATTATTTTGTTGAAGTTATTTTAAAAAATTCTACTAATATACGTTGAAGGCAGAAAGATTTCTTTGCTAGTTCTTCTTAACCACATGTTGTTACCTCCTCTCTTGTTTTCTCCTTCTTTTTGTCTTTCTCATGGTTTCTCTTATTTACCACTTGTGATACAAAATGGAAAAAAATTCAAATACATGGGCATTTAGGAATGGTTTCTAGTAGCTTAAAAGTGCTGTCATTCAAGGACCTGGCTTTCTGTGTCCTAACTTAATAGTCTTTAATAGCTCTTTTCACACAGGTTAGAGGAAAAGGTTCTGTTTTCTTAGATTGAATTGGATTGGTTGCATAGGGTTTGGTTTGCAGAGCAATTGAAGAGAGAAATTTTTTTCCTTTCCTACATATCTAGTATTATTGATTGCTACAAGTACCGTTTATGGGATGGCAACATCACAAGGAATGAAAACCCAGTTGATTTCATGGTATTTAAAATCAGATTCAGGAAGTTCTCTGATATTATTTTACTTCTAAGGACAAATTCCTTACAAAGGAATGAGGAAATCCTCCACTCTTTTCACAGTGACTGTTGATATTACTAGTTTTATTTATTTATTTTTTGAGGTTTTCTTATTTTTAACAATGATTTACATCAGTCATTTGAGATTTAGTGGGCACTTCAGATTATGTCGTATTTATTATATCTTATTTTTATTGTAGAGGTGATGTTTTGAGGGATTACAGTTATGTAAGTCAGGTAAAGAGTACATCACTTTTCTTTTTGAACACTGTCATCCCTCTTTCTCCATTTTTCTCTCCCATCCCACCCACAAGTTGTATAGTTCATTTTTCATATAGTATCTAGTGAATACCACTGCTGCATTTGTCGCCCTTTGTTCCACCATTTCTTTGTATCCACTAACCCTTCCAAAGGCAAATAAACTAACAAAACAAAAGTACGGGACAACAAAAACAGCAACAACAATATCTCTTGTTCCTATTTCTTGGAGTTCCTTTCATAAAATATTATTTTATATGATCCTATATACACATTGCTATTGAGCCTTCGTGTATGTTCTATTTATTGATCATATTGTATTGGGGGCCCTTTGAACATCAATTAGTTGTACCAGGGAGTTTCCTTTTAACATGTTCATTTATGTACATAGTGCATCTTGATCAGAACCACCCTGGCCATAATTCTTATCTTGCCATTCATTTTCAAGGCCTTTGAATCTCTGGCTTTTTTTTTTTTTTTGCTTAAAATAGTGATTTCTCATTTCATTCACTTTCCTAAAAATGACATAATTTTATTTTTCTTTATGATTGAATAATACACCATTGTGTTTATATTCCATGTTTTCTTTATCCATTTACTGGTTAATAGGCATCTGGGCTAGTTTTATAACTATTGTGAACAGTGCTGTTATGAATGTACATGGGTGTGCAGGTTATCTCCATTGTATGCCCAGGGTGGTATATTCAGATCATATGATAGTCCTACTTTTAGTTTTTGAGGAACTTGTATATTGATTTCTATAGTGGCCACCATAATTTATGTAATCAACAATGTATGAGGTTTCCTTTTCCTCCTAATATCTTGCCAGAATTAGCTTTTGCTTGCTTTTCAGATGATAGAAGTTCTGACAGGAAGGAATTGTTTTGATTTTCCTTTTCTTTTTGAATGAGGTTATTGAATTTTTTTTGCATCTATTTATTAGCTATTTGTACTTCTTTTGAGAACTGTTTAATTCTTATTTTGTCAGTTTATTAATTTGATGTTTGTTCTTTTGGTGTTTGATATTTGGAGCTCTTCATATATTTTGTATACTAATTTTTATCCAAGGTATGTCTGCTAAACATGTTTTCTTATTCCATAAGTTATCTTTAGTTCTGGTAGTTGGGTTCTTTGTTTTTTAGACTTTTTAATTTGATGCAATCCTATTTGTCAATTCTTATTTCCTGAGAATTGGAGTCTAATTCAGAGAGTTATTATTGTATAGCTTTATCTTCAAAGGTTTTTCCTAGGCTTAGTTCTTTAAGTCTCAGAGTTTCATTTTCAAAGATCACATTTTCAATTAATTTTTGTACAAGGTCAGTAGTAAGGCTTTTCTACATGTGGATATCTAGTTTACCCACTATCATTTGTTGAAGTAACTCTTTTCTACTATGTATTTGGGGCCTTTGTAGAAAATCAGATGTCTGTGGTTATATGGGGTTATTTTGAATCTCCTCTTCTTGCTTATTGTATCTGTATTTTATTGTATTACTATGCTGTTTTATCTACTTTGAGTATGTACTATAGCTTGAAGTTGGGTATTCTGATACCTTCATCATAGCTTATTTTCCTCTGGGTTGCTTTAGCTATTTTGACTCTTTTGTACTTCCATAAAAATTTAAAGAGGACTTTTTCTATTACTGTGGAGATTGTATTGCGTCGGTAGATTGTTTTTGGCAATATAGCCATTATCTGAATATTAATTTTGCTAATCTATGAAAACTGGAGGCATTTTCATCTTTTGGTGATCTTTAACTTCCTAAAGATCTTATGCTTTTTATCATTGAGATCTTTCATTTCCAGGAGATTAGGTTTATTTTTAAGTATTTAATCTTTTTTTTGCTATTGTGAGTAGGATTATTTTCCTGATTTATCTTTGTCTGTTTATTACTATCTTTTGGGAAAAAATTACATGAAAATAAATAGATTTTTGTATATTGATTTCATATTTTGCTATTTTGCCAATATGTTCTTTTATATCTTAGAGTACTTTCATAAAGTCTTTAGGGTGTTTTAAGTATAGGATAATATTATATGCAAATAGGAATATTTGACTACTTCTTCCCTTCCTATTTGTATGCTATTTCTTTCCCTTACCTTATTACTGTCGCTAAGATTTCAAGCATTGCATTAAATAAGAGCAGAGAGAGTAAATAGTATATTCTTGCTCCTTACTTTAGGGGGAGTTGATTCAGTTCAGTTCTTTCACATTAAGTATAATGTTTTCATGCTAAGTATAAGGTTTTTATTATGTTGAGGGTACATTCTTTCTATTACTAGTTTGTTCTTGGCTTTATTTATTTATTTTATTTCTTGGCTTTTACTCTGAAGTGATGTTGACCTTAATTACAAGCTGTTTTTGCATCTATTGAGATGATCCTGTGTTTTTTCCCCTTATTCTGTTTATATACTATAGTAGTACATTTATTCATTTGTATATATGGAATCATAATTGCATGTCTGTAATGAAACAATTTTGTTACACTTTATGATTTCCTTTTAATATATTTTTGAATTTTGTTTGCAAGTATGTTACTTAGAAGTTTTACTTCTCAGTTCATTCATTAACAATAAGCTAGGTGCTGGTTGCCCATACCTGTAATCCTAACTACTCAAGAGGCTGATATCTGAGGATCATGGTTTGAAGCCAGCCTGGGGAGGAAAGTTTGCGAGACTCTTTTATCTCCAACTAACCACCAAAAAGCTAGAAATGAAGCTGTGACTCTAGTGGTAGAACATTAGCCTTGAGCAAAGCAGTTTTAGGACAGTTCCTAGGCCCTGAATTCAAGTCTAAGAGTAGCACCAAAAAAAAAAAAAAAAGTGAAAAGGAAGTACACTATCATCATAAAAGTTAATGAAACAGAAATAATAGAAACAACATTTCAAAATAAAACAGTACGAGTCTCCAATTTTCAAGATTTTAGATGTTGTTATAATTTGTGGAGGGGAAGGGAAAAAACAAATCATTTAAATAGGG